TGCAGAAGCGAATGCCGCGCGAGACTAACTAGGGAAGCAACAAGCACAGCCACTAGGACTCAAAACGGCCAGTTGCTCGCTCAAAACGACGTGACTGTGCCTACGGCATCACTCACTCAACTGAGGGGCCTGAGTTCCCCCCCAGCAACTCCTGCACGTGCCGCTCCTCGAGGGGGTGGGCCAAACTTGCGTTCGCCTCCATTCGCCTCCAGGCCACGCTGCAGCTCGGTCAAGAACTCCTGCAGCTCCGGCGTAACAGCCACCTGCAAGCGAACCTTGCTTTGATCGTAGACTGTCGAGATGCGACAGTAGAGGACCGTCTGGGAGAGTGAGCAGGGATCCGAGACCGCGTCACAGTAGGACTTCACTTGCTGCCGCTTCTCCTCGCTGATGTTCTCATCGGTGGCAAGAACCTTCATGAGCGCTGCCCAGAGCCAGGAAGAGGGCTGGCCAAGCGTGTGATTCTTGCCAGCTGCACGAGTACGCTGCGCATACAGCTGCCCAGCCTCAGTGCCTGCCGTAGAGTACATGCCAGCTTTGGGGAGGATGTACGTGACAAACACCGTGCTCTCCATGTTGCGGCAGGCTTGCGCATTGCGAAGCGTCAGCTTGGCGACGGCCTTCAAGAGCTGCTCCTGCTCCTTGTTGCTGCCTCCCACTCGCGGTCGGACTTGTCGTTTGTTTGCCGAGGCCGGCGCAGGGGCTGCGAACCACGACTCCATGGCGGCAGGAACACTACGAGAACAGGACCAACTTGAAGCATCACAGCCGAGCTGGTTGCGCTGGGCGAAAATATTGCTGCATAACACCTTGCCCTCTCGCAACATGCTGCACAACATGCTGGTGCAGGGCATCCAAATTGGAAGCATGATGTAAGCAGATTGGGCACTCCAATCGTTCTGGCGGCCTAAGGCACTCCAAATAGCTAGTTGCACCCCCACCCGTTCTAGGACAGGCACCTTTAGCAACACGTGCATGTACATGTCTTCGGGCGATCTCAATGGATGCGAAGACTTTGCGACACCACGGGCACTGGTTGCAAACAACAATTTGTCGAGCCATGATGAAAATGCCGTGTGCTCTGTGTCTGTGTGTCGACAAGGCAACTGTCGAGCTTGCCACATAATGACACGCCACTCCGTCTGGGCTAACATATCTGCAAGGAAACTGAGGTGCTGGGGCAACCGCATCTGCTCCACTGTCACTAGCATGGTCTCCAGATGGCTGACTGCCGTCTGCTTCTTGCTCTGGCAGCACAGCGGGACCCTGCTTGAAGAGTTTCCGGATCTGCAATGACAAGAACACGGCTTGATGCGGTGCGGAGAACAGCAACAGCGGTTGATCATGAATGACGCCGGGTGGCGGCAGGTCAAAACGACACAACTCGTGTAAGTCTGCAACAAGTTGCCGTATCCATGGGTTTGCGTGCTGCGTGAGACGGCCGTCAGGACCGAGCTGCGAGTAGCTTTCCCAAGGAAATTGCCCAAACAAGCTAGCAAGCAATGCAACATTTTCGTCAGGCCTTTTGACAATATTTTGCCACCACAGCAATCGCCTAACACACCTTTCCGTGGCAGAGGCAAGCCAGAATACACTGCTGACAAGACCATGGCTTTGAAAACAAGCTGCCGCTGTGCTCTGGGAGCATCCCTCCTAAACCAAAAGCCATGGAGTACACTCCATGACCACTTGGCCGCCGCGATGCGCTTTGAGATTTCAGGAGATGTGGCGCAAGAGTGGTGCAGCCAGCCACCCAAATACTTTGCAACCCTCTTAAACTGACCCCGAACGGCCGTACGAGCATGGTAGATGTCCTGCATGGCCTTTTGCGCCCCCGAGCCCATGAGCCGAACAAGGAGTTCTTTCTTGTCATGGTTCTGAGCCATGTGCAATCCTTGCAGACTGCGGTCCAAGTCGGCATCCATGCGGGTGACGATCGGCGCAAACTCCGGTGCCGTTGGTATGGCATGTGTTTTGGCAACATCATCCGCAAAGGTGCTGAGTGAGGTGTCACAACGTTGAGCCAGAGACCGGGTCAGTGGCAAGAAGTGCCGCTCCATGTGGTAGCGCTTTACATGCGATGTGCCACTCTTCAACAGCTGGGAGGTACACAGACAGGAATTGCGAAGGGGCCATGCGATCCCCCTGCATATTCCTGCATCCCACTTGCAAGACTGTGTATGTAGGCTGGAATGGGTCTCGCAGAAGTATAAAGGCTTCGCGGTGCCTTTGCATGAGCAGCTCCACATCGTCAGGACGGGCATGTTGGCGTACTGCTGCGTCCAAGGACGCATGAGAAGGTGATGGAAAGGCGTTCTTAACATCATAAAGCACGGTGACATGCCCCAACCCAGCATGCTGGAGGCGCCAATTGATGCAACGTTGCTGTGTGATCGCTTGCTCACGACGCCGGTGGCGAACGAATCCGCAAGCATGATGTGCATATCTTGGCACTGTTCGCGCCCAGAGCTGATGAAAGTAAGCTTTTCCGACAGGACATAGCAAGTGAATGAGCCTCTTCCCACTGCATCCAGGTTTGTTATTGCGCTTGTCCAACTCAACCGGGCATGAAATGTTCCACAGAGTAGGCACACGTTGTGATGCCCGTGTTTGCACCAGTGTGCGCAAAAGCCGAGCTTCAACTTGGCCATGAAACTGCGACGACAAAGATGCGCCTCGCTATGCGCCAAACTTCTGCGGGTGCACACCAGTCAGGAACAGCTCTTTGGCGTTGTAGTGTTCGCACGGCTTCGCGCAATTTTCCCAAGTCCTCCTGAGCAGACTGCTGAGCGTACACGCCAACACGAGCCGGCTGTGCCCTCCGCGGCCGACCACCGTCCCATCATACTGCAAGATGTCTGTCTCTGGGAGACTGTCCGGCACTGCATCGTTTGGAAGCAGCTTGCCCCTTGCGAATATGTATGGAAAAATGGCATCAGCAGAAGCTTTGTCGAGCCGTGTTGCAGCACAGCCACCTTGCGGTCCTGCAAGTGACAGTTCATCGACCCACTCTTGTGCAGTGGCACGAAAACGCTGTGGATGGTCGTAGCGCTGCTTCTTCGGCCCATGCTTGCCGCCCGCGATCTGGTAGGCGAGCTTCCATTGCAAAGAGGAGTTTTTGTCTCGCACCGCTTGCTGTAGCTGCTGCACCAAGTCATCCACCTTATGGCGTTTATCCCTCCGACACAGCTGCTTGGATTGACGCTGCAGTGATTTGAAATGCAAATACTTCCGCCACGCTTCCCACGCAAGGTGCACTGACTGTGCAGGTTGTTGCTGGCGTCGTAGCTGAAGACAAGCATCTCTGTAATCTTCCCTTGCCAACATGGCTTGCTCGGCAGCTTGCTGTGTGTCAAGCGGCCGTTGAGTGCGCCGCGACCCAGATTGAGCAAAAAAGCGGCGTGCCAGGCGACAGACGATGTTCTTGAGGGCATTCCATGAAATGCAAACATCATCCGAAGGGGGTGGCAAAGCGGCCAACGTGGTTTGCACCTCTCGCAGAAAGACTTCCTTGCTCGAGTGTCCGTCAACTGCACGGCCGAGTTTCGTGAAATCCCACCTAGCGCTGCGATGCGACTGCGGGAAAGATAACTCGTAGTTGAAGTCCACCACGATGGGGCAGTGATCACGCAAGTCTGGACTGTCAATGAGCTGTAGGCGATAACCGCTGCGGTACCACACTCGCACATCTGTGACGTGCTGCAGGAGCCCCTGAGGGACAACGACATAGTCGATGCGCGAGGGATGACCAAGCGGGCCATGGAAAGTAGCGCCGCATCCTCTGCTGAAGTGTGTGTTGACAGCTGCCAGATGATGTGTGTGCAAAAGGTTCCGCAATTGCGTGCCGTTGTGATTCTGTGCCTCGGCCCCCCATGGGCCGATGGTGGCGTCATGGTCTGGAGCGACTTGCCCAGGGCCGTCTCCCAATCTCTGCAAGCCCAACCGGCCATTGGCATCCAACAGCAAGATTGGCAGCGTGCGGACCGGGGACCGTGAGAGCAAGGAATCCACCCAAGTGTAAAAAGCGTGGACAGCTTGTCTCTGGCTAGCATTGGTGGGCTCAACAGGCACGTACCCAACGACGACCAAGAAGTCACTGCAGCGGGCTTTGATGCGCACGGCCCCGGCTCGCCCGGCCAACTGATCAGGTGGGGAGTACACCTCACGAACCCATTGCAGGCGCAAACGTTTGTGTCGGAGTAAGATGGCCACTCCACATGACTTGTTGGTGTACCGGCCCTGGGTGTAGCCCCACTGGAAAACATGATGATGTGAGGTGCGAAAATAAGCACAAGGAACATCAGACTCAGCTTTGACACATAGCCCTTGCAGTGCCACCACGTCCAGATTCTGAAATTCGCTTGAGAGCTGTGCCCATCTGCCCACACGCACGACAGACATCGCATTATATGAGCATACACGCCATGATGATCGGAGATCTCGGCACGCAAATTCCCCATGGCGCTGAGGACGCGCCGCAGCAAGAGGAGCAGCATCATTCTGAGGAAAAGGATTACGCCGGCGGCGACGTTGAGCTGCATCGCCTCCTCGCCGCAGAAGATCCCTGGCATGAGCGTCTCGCACGGCATCGCGGGCATCAAAGTGCCGAGCAGGTCCAGCAGACATTTCTTGCCGGCTGTGCCTCCGAATCCCACGCCTGCGAACATGGCACCCCAGCTACGCTGATAGCTGCAGTCTTGTGCCAGGGCTACGAGGCATATAGCAACCGAAAGGCGGAGACAAACCACCAGCCACGTTTCACGAACCGGGAAGTGAAACCTTTTATTTCTGAAGAAGCACTGTTTCAGTCAGGATCTTGACTAGGAAACTGTGATGCTGTGCATCTGTCTCCAAGCCCGACGGCACACCACACAGGTCGTCCTCCAAACACCAATCTGCACCAGTTAGTCAGGAAAACTGCACCGTTTACAAGACTCAAGGCCTGAAACTCTTTTCCGGAAGCCTTCCAGGACATGCCCGAGCTCTTGTAAGTGCCCCGCACGAGGCACTCTGCTGCGGCATGGTCATCCTGGCACAAACGCGATCAAGATGCAGCGAAGCTTGACATGGATAATCCGCTCGCAATACAAATCAGAGTTTACGTTTCGCAGCCACGCGCCTGTGCGAAAATGACGGTGCGCGCCATCCGTCTGCTGAAAATTGATTTCCCTCCCTCGTGCTTGAGCCTTGGAGGGTGCCTTCCATGAACGACTCGTTGCTGAACGCCCACAACGCTAGCCTCTTCAGTCACGATGCTGAAGGTCAGGCACGGTTTGTCTCTTTCATGCTGTGGTCCACTCGCTAAGACGGACTAGCTCCATTGGCTCAGCTGGAAAGCTGGCAACCAGAAACTGCTCCCAGGTGAGCTGGGTGCGCGCTTGACATGCTCGCCGCCGTTGCGTAGCTGACGTTGCAGGAGTATGAGTATGCCGAGGCGACCCTCATCACATCCTGCACGATGCCGGAGAATTGCGCCTTCGTGTTCACGGACACACCAGGACTGAAGAGATATTGCTTCGTCAGAGTTAGGCCGTGACCCTTTGGCCCTCACCGTCCGCACTGGCCTTGCATGTCGTTGCATCTTCCCATGCTGGGTTGTCTGGCCAATTTGCAATGCTTCCGCCTCTCTCAGACTCTCCGCTGGGCACCATGAGATAGGCATCGGCTATCGCAGCATCAGAAAGGGTGCACAGCTGCATGTAGTGGTGCAGCATGTCTCCACGACTTGAAGCCTGCAGAACATGGCATGCATATTCGATTGATGGCAACACGGGGATACATACAAGTTGCAACACAAAGTATTCCAAAACTCAGTGCTGGGGACCGTGGCTGCCTACTTGAGCTTCCAGCGTCAACCTGCTCCGCGGGTGCCTGCGTGGTAACATCTCGCCCGAAAAAGACCGACCTCACAAGCAGTATGCCAATGGTTTCAAGCAGGTAAATTCCGCGAACAACTACCTGGATCAGGATTGTAGTTCTGCTCAAGTGGCTCTGCACGGTCTTCTTCGGAGGCACGAGTGTTTTTGAAGTGGTTCGCAGAATTTCCGTCGACATACTTCTCCCAAGTCTCCAGAGCTGAAGGTATATTTCGGAGAGGACGTAAAGCTGGCTTGTCCCGACCTCCGACAGATACCGCAGCCAGAGAACACACAGCCACACATGCACAGATTTCTCTTCTAACGCTGCCTGGGAGAACGAGGCGCAAGAAAGTTGTCATGCGCCGTCGAACGGAAAAGCCGTTTTCTCTCCTCCGAAGTGAAGCGAGCCTATGAAAAAACTTCAATGTATTGTGAAACAGCATGTTTTACAGACATGAGGAACTGAACTGCTTCCAGGACTCGAACGAAGACTGATTCCCAGAATCTCCCATCGTAAATGGTTTACCAATGGGCTCATGTACCGTTCGAACCTTCACCAAGGCATGTCAGAATGTGATTGGTCGATGCAACGAAACTTGGACGGGAGGAGGCACAAAACTTCAGCCCGAGAAACCCGGTTATTGCCAAGGAAGCCAAAACGCGTCTGATCCGCAGGTGGTTGTGATGCCGGAGCACTAACGCTTCATACAATCGGCCACGGCCGTTTGGGGCCCGACCAATTTCACCGGTTTCGGAATCAATCAGCCTGCCGCAAATGCGTGTTCCTGCACACTGCTAGCAGTTCACCTTGCTCAGCACACAGCATGTACCATGGGTCGTGGACCTCAGGCCCAGGAAGTCCAGGAACAGCCGGTAGGATTGGATGTACTTTCCTCGTGTTGTTTTTGACCCCAAACACACCCAAAATCATCATGTGCAGATTGCTGCCAAACATGTGCAACGCTGTCAATCGTAGCCACGTCGTAGCCTTGTAAGCAATGACAAGATTCGTGCGATCTCTCCGTCATTGCGGAACACATGAGCTTCCGGTTTGCTCAGTTGTGGCGCGGTGGTGTTGAACTGCGACTGGAAATAATTCGGAAAAAGCCACTGAATATACCTGGCAGGTTCATCGATCTCCACAAGAACGGACAGGAAATCAACGAACCGTCAAAACATGACTGGCCGAGGCTCAAATGATTTGTCTCTAGCTTGTCATACTGTCCCTGCCAACCATGAAGATCTCGAAGGTATCCCAACGAGCAACGATGCCGATCACGGTAAAATTGGACCAGGACATCGCCCATTGCTCCATGAAGGACGTGCTCCCGCCCGTTCGGAAACTATGTAAATTGTGCTCTTGTCACCAAAACAATCCATCGCAATAAATCCAATACGGTTTTGGCAATGACAACGACCAACAGTTACTGGCTCTAGAGACAAAGTTTTCGAAGCAAGTCTCCTTGGAACGAGTTCTATTTCAGTTTTCTCTCGTTTTTTTGGAAGTTCGGAAGCATTCGCACTTTGTCAATGCTCAGTGTCTCTTGGCGGTCGACTGGCTGCTCTGGAGTTGAAGTGTCCATTTGGAGACTCCATGCGCTCTGGCACAAGGAGAAGTCGACAAAGGCTGGTTGTTTGGGCATCTTTGCAAGATGCGAAGAAAAGATGGAGAGAAAAACTAAGATGTCGTTGGTGCTTTCTCCATCTCCCATCGAGTTGCAGATCCTGTGAATCCAACGATGTTCTGCATCTCCAAGGCAACTTTCACAGATTTCTTTTCTGCGCAGACGGTCAAGCAAGTTTGCCCCTCTCTTTGCAAACCAGGATGGAGTTTGATCAACTCCACTCCAGACTGGAGTTTACCTCCAGTCGGTGCCAAAGATGTGCTTGACGATTTGAGATATCTGTAGTCGCTAAGCAAATGTGTCCTTGAATGCAATGGGTCACACATGCTTTGTAATTCTTGAGTAAAGGGGCTTCCAGGGAGGCTCAAGGTGGCTGGGCTGGCGTCCACTACTGCACTGCCACAGTCTGCTACACTGCTACACAGCAGCTACAGCCGCACGTTTGGCGGTCATTCTGCCTTGTTCATGCCAGAGAATACGGTGAGCCGCTTGCCCCTCGCGCCCAAACCTGCGAATGCAAATCCAGAACTCGGCCTGCAATGCCGTGGACAACTGCCGAAGCTCCGTTGCCTGCGACTTTAGGGTCCCGAATACCGACTAGGGTTCCGCAGGGTTCTGGGCTAGTTTGGAGGATGAGGATCCAAGGGCCTAGGAGTGATCATCCAACGTGCAACAGCTGCATGCTGCCCTCTGCTAGGACAAAGGCAGCCTTGCTCATCACCAAAAAACTGTCCTTCAATATTGAATGTCACGACAACCGTCCTGTCCCTTCATGCACCCTCCTCCTCCCATCGTCATCATCGCTTGAAACTGCGGGACTGCTGTTCACACGATTGAAAACTCAGACGAGGGCTGCAGCAACCATGTCTTTGGCCAGCCCAACAGATGGCAACGCTTGAGATCTCATGCTACATCAACATTGCCCAAGGACCTTTCTGGAGCCGATGTGGCGAAGCAGTTCGACAAGAAACACTAAACCGACTGCAGTCCTCATGGCAGCGACGTCGCTGGGCAAGCCGACCACCGGGATGGGATAGGACTGTGGCTCTTCGCTGCGTTTGCTCTCAACTGTGCGATGCAACGTGCACCATGCCTTTGTCTTGATACAGCTTGACCGGAACATGGAGGGATCCTCACAGCCACACTGCACTTCTAGCGGCGTGGGAGCTATGCCATGGGACATGATGCCATGAAGGGGAAAACTGAAACTGAATGTCAATGTGGCCAAGCTCAGCGCAACAAGCAGCAAAATTACAATCACACTACACGCACTCGCGCTCGCAA